GTGCAGAAGGAGCCTTCTTCTCAAACTCCTGGGCACAGCCTCTTTCAAGTGTGTTGACCATAGAGATATCAGATCCACTCTCAGAACATGTATGAGGAATTCCCAATATGCCTTTTAGATCCATATAGACAGGTCCACTGTTAGGATCACCATAAGCATTTGGAATGAAGGGTTGCCTTGGTAAAACCCTTTCCTGCATAAATTCTAAAGCAAATTCCTCACCAGTCTGAATGGAGTGATCACCATAAGCATTTGGAATGAAGGGTTGCCTTGGCAAAACCCTTTCCCGCATAAATTCTAAAGAAAATTCCTCACCAGTCTGAATGGAGTAATTTAGCACAGGTCTAGCACCCACTGACATATTGTAATCTGGAGGTCGGATATTGGTATTAATATTGCTGGATGGATCAAGGAAAAATCTTTGATTTGCAGACCCAACAGCCTCATTTCTGGCTTCCACATTGTATCGAACTTGTTCATGGTTCTTCTGTGGATCCATCGAACCTTTTCCAAGGTTTCTCTCCATTTACTTCAAATGCCCCAGGAAGAACACTCCACTGCAAAATGCCATCAATATCATATGAATGCAATATCAGCACATGCATGCTCCCATAGCCAACAGCAAAGTGCTCTCTCCAAAGGCCTTCTTCTGCTATAAATTTAAGTTCTCCCCTTCAACCCTGAAAGACCACATGAAAATTCACTTAGTATAGTGGAGTAAAACTTAACTTTCTGTATAGCTTTATAAACCAGATAGGAAAATGTTGGAAGCCGTTGATGTGCAAGTCTGTAATCTAGAGTGCTTTAAGAATTAAGGAAACACAAATGACTTCATCATTGACTGGAATCAGTGTTGCTAAGAAGGCAAAATACTAAAAAGGATCCAATACCCAATATAAATCTCGGAGTCTAAACATAAACTGTGACCAATGCAAGCGATTTAATTGCAAGATAAACAGACAGAAAAGTGCAGAATTCAATCTCAAAATCATGATCCTGAACTTAATCTAGACATGAACAACAGTGGGACTCGATGCCCACTGGGATATAAATCGACTAGGAGACTTTTACAGATCAGAGAACACTAAAAATGAGACCTTCAAAATTACCCAGTAATCAGCATCCAGTGACACCCCCAGACTCCCCAGATGAAACCCACAAAGAATGACTCCAAACACCCCAGAGACACTAATCAATATAGCTCGAAACAACGCTTATAGCTCCAATAAAAGCCAAAACCCAAAATTACTAGAATCCATCGAAATCAAGCTTGAAATCAAAATCAGAACCAAACCCAGATGCAGATTAGAGATTGAGATCACTACTTTTAACAAGAAAAACAATTTTAAAAAAATTAATAAATTACCTGAGAAGGGACTAAACCAGATTTTGTGAGCTTTTAGCAGGAAGATTATAGGCTTCCTCTCTAATTTAATTATTTTGTAAAATAGAGAAAACTTCTCTCCATAGTTTTTTTCTCAGATTTTTTTTTTAATTTCTTTCTTACTTCTCTCTCTAGACCCCTCAGACTATCTAATTTTCAGTTTCATTTTCTTCAATGGTAAATGTATCTTTATGCCCCCATTTTTTCCAGTGACTGACAGTTTTGCCTAACACTTTTTTCCCTTGATCAATGAGGTTACCACAATTTTTTTTTTGTTTTCTTTGACCTTATTTATTATTTAATTCAACAAAGATATATATGTTAAAAAAATAAAAAAGTACAATGTAATTTGAACTTTATCGAACTACCTTATATTAACTATTGGATGAGAGGTTAGGTTTCCTAATATTAGACCCATTTGATGGTCCATATTTGACAATTTAGTACACTCCAAACTGTAAAACATAATTCCAAAAAAAATAAACAAGGGCATCTCTAACTAGCTATTTTCAAATAAGAACTTGGAAACAAGACATTATTCTATCTTTTGTAGTGGAACAATCAACCAATTTGTTAGATAAAAAATCTCACATTGAAATAATAGAAGAAACATATTAATGTTGGGTTTTATGCTTCTCTAGAAAGCTTTAAGCTTGGATGGATAGATAGTTGTACCTACATGGGCACAAAAGAATAAGCTTGTTAAGGTGGGTGCTAGAGGTTTCTCCAATATATGCCCTCCAATGCTCAAGTTAGTCTAAATTTCAACAAGGTAAGTTTAGGACATCGGAGAAGAAAAAGAGAAAAGAAGTTTGAAAATTGGCTCTACCTTGGGATCTATGCAAGCTCTACTTATACAATGTCAATGTAGTATCTAGTTGGTAGCTAGAAACCTGCAAAGGTCGTACATGTATCGTGATTAGACTTAACTGGTCAAGTTTGATGATCAATAAATAGGTTTCACACTGGAGACAACAAAGGTGTCTCACCCACCAAAGGTTAACAGTATCTCTATAGAAGCTGACACGAACACATCCCACACTTTGCATAGGTTTTGTCCTAACCTTTGATAGGCCCCACACGTACCTTGTTCCTAGTTATCAAGTCTTGGGTTAAGATAGGTGGCTAAAGTATGTTAGATGCCACCTAGGTTTCTTCTTATTTAGCTTAGCTTTCTAGGTCTTAAGCACTTCCTTCCAAGGTCACGAGAGTTGAGGTAGGACTTAACTTGATCAGGAACATTTTCAGGAGTTTTTCTAACTATACCTAAGGTAATATCAAGTACCTTTCAGCTACGACGTAAATCCATGTAGACCACCAAAATTATGACACATGTATAATGTTTATTTGATGATATCACATATGTATAGGTTTGGCAAACGACCAAGTCAACTCAGGTTCGAGTTGGGTCAACTTGTGCGATAGGGTTATATAGGTTGGGTTGTAAACGAGTTGTAAGTTGAAAAACTCCAACCTTAACCCAGCCCTAGTGGATTACGAGTTAACTCGTGGGTTCACCTTATTTTCATTCTTTTTAATTATTTTTGTTATTTTTATTATTTTTATTATATACAAATAAAGTTATATGTATCTAAAACTAATTAAAGTATTGTAAGTAATTAACACTAAAAATTTTATATTCTCCACCACAAACATTTAAATTAAGAAAAAAATTGTAAAGTTATAAATAACAGTCATTTGATTAATAATATTAAACTTAAAATATTTAAATTTTTTGAAAAATAAAGTTTTAATTTTTCAATCATCTTGAAACATTATTGAGGAGTTTAAGCTTTTATTTATTTATTTATAATGATGAAATTGCTCTTCTAAGAACATCTTTCATTAAATTATTATGTTTATATTCCAACATTGTATCCTTAATATTTTTAGTTGTCTTATCATTTAATTTATGATATTTGATAATTAAATCAAACCCATGTCATTTCTAGAGAAAGAAGAAGAAATAATGATAAATAATTATAAGTAAACACTTAAAATAAGTTTAAAACCATTTGAGTAATGGAAAGGAGGTTGAGAAGTATTAATTAACAGAGAGAGTTACTAATAAAAAAATTAATTAAGAATAATAAGTACAATATTTAAAAATAATAATAAAAAATTAAAGTAAGTAGGTGAATCTGTCAATCTACAGATTGACCCTGACCCAACTCGTGACCCATACGGGTTGATATTATAAGTTATATATGAGTTGCAAGTTGAGATATATAGACTCTAACCCATTTTTTCGAGTTAAGTTATGGTCAAATTAACAGATGCTGAGAATCATTGTATATTTATTTATGTTTTATGAGATAAATGATTGTTTATTTTGATAAAATGAGCTTACAAGCACAAATTAAGGTAAATTATATTGATAAGTAGTACAAAGAGCCTATATGGATTTCACCTTCCCTTAATTGTGAGTATGTTTAAATAAAAAATGAATTTAAAAAATAAAGCAAAGAAAGCATCTTCACCCTCTCAAAAAATAAAGTAATTTTCTCTTTTTCTCTCCCCTCTGTTTTCATATATTCAAACAAGTTCTTAGAGGTTTTAAAATGGCCAAAGGAAAATTAATTACTTAGGTTTACGGATGTGAACAATAAATGGTAAATTTAGTTTAATCAATTTTGAAGTTTTTGAGTTGACAATAACTTTATTAAATTAATATTTACTAACTTAATTCTCTTAATTTAAAGTCAATACTAATAATTTAAATTTTTATAATACCAACCAGTTAACATTCTTCAATGTATATATATTTTTTTTAAAAATAAGCTTTTTGGTATATGCTTTGATGGGAAATTGGGCTGAAAATATTGGGGGCGAAACCTTTAACACTCCAAAGATTAAGTGCACAAATATGTTTACATCTTGTCGGTTCTGGAACTTTTGGCACGCGGTATCATAAATTTTTTTACGGGTTTATCTTCCGAACTCGGGAAGTCAAGAGTTTCCGGATTTTTCAGTGGGCGTTGGCGCCCTGCGGCGTGAAACGCGTTTTAATCGTGCGTGTGTTGCACCGTCCAATTATTTTGTATTATAACCTTCGATGGTGTGGGTCCCGCTGACAGGAGACGTTTGTGGGTTTTGTTAATATAGGGCTGCGAGTGCGGGAGGAAAGCGCCTGTCGTACAAGTGGAATGACACGTGGCAGTCCAACTTAGCGGACTATTTAGCCCATTGGGCCAAGCATGAGCCTTTACCCGTACTAAAATTCCAATGGGCCGAAGTTGACTATAATTACAGGGAAACAGAGCTAAGCACTAAAATAATAAATAAAATAATTTTAAAAATCCCTATATGGTATAGGCTTAATGTAATTTTAGGAAATGGGACCTTTTACCCAAAAAAGGGGAAAATAATTACTTAATTAGCTGAATTTGTTGATGTCACATGAAAATATAGCAAAATTTTCCATATCATTTTTCTTGAATATTTTGGCAACCAAATCTATTTCAAAATGTCATAAAAATCAACTTCTTTGAGGAAGGAAATCATGTGAATGTTTCTTTAGATCTAACAATAACATGTACTTCAGTCAATTTTTCTAACACATTTTCAAGTTCGTGTTCTTGCACAATCTTCTAACAACAGAAAAGTGGTTGCCAAATCAAGAAACATATATTTATGGCTACTTTCCTTCAACAAGCATCAACAAATTAAAAATAAAACATAATAAATTGCTCGAGAAAATTTACAATTGTTGTTATTATTAATGACATTAATTTTTTAATTTATTTGCCGCATATATAATAATTCACGTCATATAAATTATGTATTATATATCATTAAATATTATATAAACTGCATATTATATATTATTAAATCATAATTAACACCTTATAAACCATATAAGGTATATGTTGACTTTATATGATATAGAATGACTAGTGACCATATCTAACATCCCATGAATCTAATTAACCGTTACATTACATTACACATCTTAACTAATCTCCACTTTGTTTTCTACCATGCTTTAGATCAGTAGATCCAGTCTTTCATCCATCTAAATTACTAATTGACATATCATATCCTCCACATATTTATGTATCCATTTACCTTTTTTTTTTCTCTTTTTTTTCTCTATTTTGACTTGCACAATAAAATATAATTTTATATCTCTTAACATATCTTAATATACGTGTCAAGTAATTTAAATTTAAAATTTCATATTTTCATAAAAATATTACTATTAAATTATTTAAATTATTATCTATCCATCTATGATTTCATTAATCTCCATTACTAGTTATCATGTTGTATTTCATATTCAACATGAGAATGAAGATGAAGATGAAATTTTAGAGTTTTTAAAACCATTATTTTTTTTTTGTTCAACATTTGCCGTGTACACATTATTAATATTACATAAGTCATGTATGTTATTATACATAATTAGATGCCATATAAATCCGTATATTATCATATAATTACTATTAAAAAATGTTATAAGAACTTAGACGTCGATTGGTTTAAGTATTTTTTTTCCCTCTTAGATAATAATAAAACACTTAAAATCTTAATAGGTACACATAGCATGTCTTTTATATATATATATATTAATTGTATAATAAAAAATAATTATTTTTTATTTTTTATTTTATTATACCTATATTTTTCATTAAAAAAAAAAAAGAGACTACTGAATTATCGTTGACCATAGCAGTTTTCTTAATTCCATACAAATCATGTAAGATATGCATTGACACACTATATACTATAATGATGGTCGCCATCTAACAGCCCCCGAATCCAAGTAACTGTTACACAGCATTGCATGAATCTTGAATAATCTCCACAACAGTTTCCTACCATGGTCTATGTATAGCTCCATCCAAATTACTAATTGCCATGTCATATCCTACTCGAATCTACGTTTCCGTCCACTACTTCGGCTATGTTTGGTAAGTTCGTGGGAAGTTTTTTGGTTTCGAAAACTTACCTACATTAAATATTATAATTTATAAAAAATAATATAATTTTTTATAAGTTAATATTTTATTTATTTTATTATAAATTTTAATTGATATTTTTGTAAGAAATTTTTATTTAAAATTTAACAAAATTTATACATTATTTTTATTTTATTTATTTATAAAAACAATACATCTACAATTATTTTTTTAATAAAATTTCTATTATAAACTCAACAGGCACGAATTCATCCACCTTCATTACTATTCGCCACATTGTATCATAATGCCATACATCTATGGTTCCATCTATGTATTAATTACCATTTGTGCTACAATTTCTAAATGAAGATTTTTTCATATCAGTTTAAAATTAATAATTTGTTACAAATCTTAATAGTTGAGTAAAATTAATTAAAACTTTGAATCTCATCAATTATTTAAATATTTATAATAAATCTGCATACTATCAGTGGTCCTCCCAATCCATAGACTGGATTATTCTCTAGCCTTTTTCTGTGTAATTGCGTTTGTTCAGAACAAAAAATCTCAATAATTAAATATTATTTTTTAATAAAAAATAATAAATAAAATAAATTAAAAAGAATAAAAGACAGTTATTTCATTGTACAGTTGAAGATCAATATTTCGAGTTTCTTAATCCTTGTTTAATTAGTAGTAATGTTTAAAAATTAAACAACAGAAAGATCTCTAAACGGTGTTTTTGGTTATTGCGTATAATAATAGAACTTCAAATAAGAGAAGAGCCTAAGAATCTAAGGCGAGATTAAAGAAAACATTTGACAGTTAAAGGCCGGTAACAGGGAAAGATTAAAAGGGAAGAACTTGGCATTTGAACACCAGCGGGAGCAATCAATGGCGGCGTTTATGAGAGCAAAGGCGAAGACTTGGAGGGGGGGGGGGGGGGGGGAGAAAGGGAAAATAAAATAAAAGGAAAGATATGGGGAGGGTGTCAGTCTGGCAAGCCACGTGGCGGGTGTTGAGTGGTTAGGTAGGAGGAGAGAGAAGGTGAGAGGGAGAGGAGCTCTCTCATGCGCTGCCATGTCCTATGGCCCCGGCGAATCCGTATCGTGTGCTTTGTTTCTCTCTCTCTATATAAAGCCTCAGTACAATTCATTATATTACATGTTTTTATTTGGAGTGTTTTGGGTGTGTTTCTCTCTCTATACTTATTCATTTGGTGTCTCTTTCATTCTCTCTCTTTCTCGTATCTCCCTCCCTCGCTTCCTTGCTTGCTTCGCATACCCTAATCTCTCTCTTTCCCCATCTCCCAATCTTCAGTCTATCCCTCAATCTGTTACTTGTGAGATTGTCCCACTTGGGTTTGATTCTTTGATCCACAAGGAAGATTGGTGAGCTACTTTTCCTACGTGGGTACTGCTTGGTTTTTGTCTTTTTGTTCATTTTCTCATCTGGGCATTTGTAATTCAGGTGTTTTGAGCTGATTGTCTATGTTGATGTTTGTAGAATGTGTATTGTTGTTTGATTGTTGGGGTGTTATGCTTAAGGCTTGATTGGTTTATTGAATTTTGGTTGTCTGCTGAAATATGATACATGGTGATTGGTTTTGTGAGTAAGTTTGTGAATTGAGCTGGGGTTTTGGTGAATGAGGTTTTGGGTTCACTTTGAGGTGAATGTGTCATGCCTGCAGAGTTTTGGAGGATATTGTTTAAATTTTGGTAGTTTATCTCTTACATTATTTGGCATTGTTATAATCTATTGTTTGAGGTTGTTGCTTCATTAGATTCATTCAGTCTCTGCAGTTCATAGATTTAACCAACTTGTTTTAACCTACAGCTGAGTTTTAGGCCTTCATTTTTTCCCTATGCTGATTCTAATTGGGTATTTAAGTATGTTTCACACAACTGTTAGTGTATTCTACTTTTTAACCAATGGATATACAGTATCTAGCTAGTATTTACATGGTTGAATTGGTTTAGTTCGATTTGTTGCGTTGGGATAGTTCTTAACCCATCGTTCTTTTGTTAATGGTATTAAGTGTCCTCTAATGCTTATTCTTTCTCATTATGATACTGGATTGCTAGCTTTTGTAAGCTGTGGAGTTCACATTTGAACTGAACCAAAAGTTGAAAATGTATGCATGTAGTATCAAGCTAACATTGTGAACATTAGAACTGGGAGCCATTTGGTAATGTATTAGAAGTTTGCTGGTTTATAACCGGACAATGATCTTCAGCAAACTAGAGTGAAGATTAAGGATATGGAGCTTTCTGTTAATCGAGATTTTTATCATGCTGAATGCATGGAAAATGTTAGTTATGCTGAAATGATGTCAATATGTTAAAAGTTTTGGCTACAACCTCAAGTGTGATGTTTTAGCTCTCCCCTGAATTGCTTTCAGTGTGGTGGTGTGTAGACTTTACCCTGACACTCCTGATATCAATTTTTCTGCATCTATTTAAATGCCGCAATGTTTAATCCAGTTTGTTGCATACTGTTCGTTCCTTTTCCTAATTTCTAATTCTATTGTCAAATATAGGAAACAGAATTTGAATTCCAGTGGCTAAGATTGGTGCTCCGAATGTTTAGTCTACAAACTTCCTTATTGGTCATGACACACTTGCTATTGCTGTTGGTTGCAATGTAAGGCCTATGATTAAAGAAGATGAAGGATAGTGATTCGTCAAGTCGTAAAATGATTAACCGGAATTGGGTCTTGAAGCGTAAACGAAGAAAAGTTCCATGTGGAACAACCTTATCCAATAGTAAAGAAGAAAATGTGGTAGCCTCAGAATCTTCAAGGAGTACTTCTTCTGCTAAACGCCGGCTGAAAGGCGAAATAAGATCTGATCAATCAGCATCCAAGAAGAAAGGAAATGATGGGGTAAGTTGCTTTATGTTTGTCTATTATTTATTTTTCTCATTGCCATAGGGTTCTTTTTTGACCTACTTGATAAGGATGTTATGTTTGCTTTTGGAGTTGAAGTAGTTACCATGTTGTGACGCATGAACTTTAGGGGCAATGTAATTTTTACCCAAATTTAGATTGAACAATTGTTGCAAAACCGTACTTTGCCCTTGTTGAAGATTACCATGCATCTGGAGTAAGTTGAGTTGGTTGATTTACTTCATGAATCACTTTTGCATGAAACTTGGGGGCCTTTGGGCAAGAATTGAGGAATGGGGTTTGGTGTTATAGTGGGTATACTCTGTGCTGTTATCTTTACATGGATGTTCATTGTAATGCTGGCAGTGTTAATATACTTCTTCTAAGTTCTGACTTCCATTCTATTCAAACCTGTTGGTTTTTAGTATTACTATGAATGCGTGGTTTGTGATCTTGGTGGCAACTTGTTGTGCTGTGATAGCTGTCCACGAACCTATCATCTGGAATGCCTCAGACCACCGCTGAAGGTATGCTTGTTTTTGGTAATTGTATCAGCTATTGCAATTTGAATCTTGTTTTATTCTCTTTTAGTATTCTTAATAATTATTTTTTATTCATCATGTGAAGCGTATCCCAACTGGGAAGTGGCAATGCCCAAAATGCTGCCAGAAAATTGCAATTAGTTCCATTAGCCATTTGGAACCCATTTCAAAGCGAGCCAGGTCAAAAGTAATTAATTCAAAATCACAGACCAGAATGAGGTCTCCTGCCAGTGAGAGAGTATCCCGGATTTTTGGGAGCTCCATTCTTTCAAAAAGACGATCTTCTAGCCATGGAAAATCTGACTCAGGTTTGGGAGTTGAACCCTCAGAAAAAGAAGATTCATCATTAGTAGATGTGCCTTCTACCAGCAAGCCAAGTATTGCTTCCCCTGATTTTGCTGGAGATGGTAATACATTGTCCCCAAATGTTGATGTTGAAGAAAAATGCAGCATGCCTCCTACTGATTTATCTGCAGAAAGAGAGTTGACTCCTATTGTTGAAGTTCCTTCTCATTCCATAAGAGCAGCTAAAGATCAAATTGACGATTCCTGTGAGGGGAAAAATGAATTGTCTTGTAATGATGAGTGTCCAAAAAACAAAATTGTTCTTGCTATTAGTACAGCAATGGTGGATAAGAAAAAAAGAAAGAAGGATATTAGTCAGAAGATCAGTCAAAAGAAGCATAGGACAGAAAAAGGGAAAAAACCAGCCAGTGCTTCCAATAATGGGTTCAAAACAAATAACAGTAAACCTGGAATGAATAAGACGAAAAAGGAACGGAAAACTGCTAATAATAGTGTTTCTGCACCTTTGTTAAAAGAGGAAGCTGAAAGCAAGAGTTCAGACACCCAGTGTAAAGATAAGGTATGTTTTCCAATCCTTTGGATTGTTTGCCACTTCTTGGTCATTATTTTAAGGTTCTCTGTCTTTTGTTTTTTTTTGGTTAACCCTCTTAAGTGGTGTTTATGTTATTAAAATGGTGTAGAAAATGAAACTGATAACCTCAGATTGAGCTTCTGCAGATATTTTAACATTCTGGCATATTAGCAATTTGTGTGGTTTGAATGTTTCTGGCCATTTTCCACCATTTTTTTTTTCTTTCTGAATTCTGATCTAGGTAATTGACTTCTAGATAAACAATTCTAAAAATGCTATATGGTTATCTAAATGATTTTATAGGAGTTTAGTTTTGTAATAACCATTAGTGGTACTTCTAGTGGCTGAATTTATTCTGAATAAATGTTTTCTCAAGGAGTTCTGGTCTTTGCCAAAGAAATTTACATTTTACAGTTATTCTATATACTTTTGATGTTTGATGTTGGCTTATTTGAATTCATTCCAAGGATGTTAATCCAATATGCCACGATCCAACTTATTATCATTGGCATTCTTGTCTGCATTTGTCATTGTTGCTATCATTCAGATTGTCATTATGACCATTACTTCAATACATGTCTTAGTTTTCGTTTTAAGTAAATTCTATTATTCCATTCAGAAGCTTTCTGAAGAGTTGAATCACCCATCAGATAACTTGGACAAAGGTACTGTTGAGTTGTCAGTGGTTCATGAAGATAATGTTACTGCTGAAATTCAGCAGGTAGGTTTATTTCATGGCTGCTGCCTTTTATTAAGACAGATATAATCTCTGTTTGCTGAGTGACTAAGAAGCTCTCTCCATCTTGTACTACAGGTCGACCGGGTTCTAGGATGTCGAGTTCAAGGTGGTAGTGCAAGCTCTTTGCATCCTGTTCTGGTGGCAGTTCCAGTACATTCTGATGATTTGCTAATACCAGAAAATCAAAATAGGGTTTCAGAGGGAAATTCTGCTTGTGAAAATGATGCTGAAATAGGAGTTGCTGAAAGTCATGGAGAGGGTTGTCCTGATATGATGACAAGTTCTGATAAGGAAGAAAGCTTGAAGAGTGACAACAAAGCAGATAAATTACGTGTATACAGAAGGTATATGACCAAAGAAGGCAAGGAAGTTAATTCCATGGCCTTAATGAGTAAAGACACCGAATGTACAGATTTTGCTTCCTTAAATGGAAAAAATCATGATGAATCTGCAACAGCTAATGGGGAATTGGGTAAAGAAACTCAAAAGATGGCTGAGGAGAAGGATGCAGATGTTAGTTTGAGAAGTCATTCTACAGATGAAGCTGCAAAAGAACGTGAAACAATTGTTTCTCATGAATCTGCAAAAACAAGAGAGGTACATGAAGAAATAAAAATGAGTAGCAGTAGTGAAGATAAAGTTCAGGTGGCAGCTGTTGCTGAATCTGCATCTTCTGATAAAGAAGAAGTATCATATGAATTTCTAGTAAAATGGATGGGAAAGTCACATATCCATAACAGTTGGGTTTCTGAATCTGAACTGAAAGTCCGGGCAAAGAGAAAACTAGAGAATTACAAGGCAAAATATGGAACAGCTGTGATAAATATCTGTGAGGAAAAGTGGAAGCAGCCTCAACGCATCATTTCTCTTTGTGTTTCAAAAGATGGCAAACATGAAGCTTTTGTGAAGTGGACCGGTCTTCCTTATGATGAATGCACTTGGGAAAGGTTAGATGAACCTGTTCTTCAAAAGTCTTCTCATCTTATTGATATGTTTGATCATTTTGAACGTCAAACTGTGGAAAAAGATGCTTCTAGGGATGAATGTAGGGGGATGGCTGGTTATCAACAAAGTGATATTGTTACTTTGACAGAGCAGCCAAAGGAGCTAAAGGGAGGCTCATTGTTTCCCCATCAGCTTGAGGCACTAAATTGGCTGCGTAAATGCTGGCATAAATCCAAAAATGTGATACTTGCAGATGAAATGGGGCTTGGAAAAACGGTATCTGCTGTTGCCTTCATTTCATCTCTGTATTTTGAATTCAAAGCTACTTTGCCTTGTCTGGTGTTGGTTCCACTTTCCACTATGCCCAACTGGCTTGCTGAATTCTCATTATGGGCCCCAGATATAAATGTTGTGGAGTATCATGGGTGTGCAAAAGCAAGAGCCATTATACGAAAGTATGAATGGCATGCTAGTAATCCAAATGAGCTGAATAAGAGAACAGTTTGCTGTAAGTTTAATGTTCTTTTAACTACTTATGAGATGGTTCTTGCTGATTCCTCTCATTTGCGTGGAGTTCCTTGGGAAGTTCTCGTGGTTGATGAGGGTCACCGTTTGAAGAATTCAGGAAGTAAGCTGTTCAGCTTGCTAAATACATTGTCTTTTCAACATCGTGTTCTGTTGACTGGTACCCCACTTCAGAATAACATTGGGGAAATGTACAATTTGCTCAATTTCTTGCAGCCATCTTCATTCCCTTCTCTGTCTTCATTTGAGGAAACATTTAATACCCTTACAACTGCAGAAAAGGTGGAGGAACTGAAAAAACTTGTTGCTCCGCATATGCTTCGAAGGCTTAAAAGGGATGCCATGCAGAATATTCCACCCAAGACAGAGCGAATGGTTCCTGTTGAATTGTCATCCATCCAAGCTGAATACTATCGTGCAATGCTAACTAAAAATTACCAGATATTGCGGAATATTGGGAAAGGGGTTGCTCAGCAATCAATGCTAAACATTGTGATGCAGTTAAGAAAGGTTTGCAATCATCCATACCTTATGCCTGGTACTGAGCCTGAATCTGGATCTGTGGAATTTCTTCATGAAATGAGGATAAAGGCTTCGGCCAAGTTAACTCTGTTGCATTCCATGCTTAAGGTCTTGCATAAGGATGGTCATAGAGTTCTAATTTTTTCACAAATGACCAAGCTTCTTGATATTCTTGAGGATTATTTGACAATAGAATTTGGTCCTAAAACATATGACAGAGTGGATGGCTCTGTTTCAGTGGCTGATAGGCAGGCAGCAATAACACGGTTTAACCAGGACAAAAGTCGATTTGTCTTCTTGTTATCAACACGCTCATGTGGCCTTGGGATCAACTTGGCAACTGCTGACACTGTTATCATCTATGATTCTGATTTCAACCCACATGCTGACATCCAAGCTATGAATCGGGCACATCGAATTGGGCAATCAAATAGACTTTTGGTGTATAGGCTTGTAGTTCGTGCCAGTGTTGAAGAACGCATCTTACAGCTTGCAAAAAAGAAACTGATGCTTGATCAGCTTTTTGTCAACAAGTCTGGGTCTCAAAAGGAAGTGGAAGATATACTACGATGGGGAACAGAAGAACTCTTCAATGATTCATCTAGTATGAATGGAAAAGACAATGGTGAAAATAATAGCAGCAAGGAGGAAATGCTGATGGATATAGAACATAGGCACCGGAAGAGGGGTGGTGGCCTAGGAGATGTGTACAAGGACAAATGTACAGATGGCAGCACCAAGATTGTGTGGGATGAAAATGCAATTTTGAAATTGCTTGATCGTTCAAACCTTCAGTCTGGATCATCTGATGTTTCTGAAGGGGATTTGGAGAATGACATGCTTGGCTCAGTAAAGGTGAGGTGTCATAAATGCAACCTGTTTACTTGTTGCATTAGTCAGTTCATTATTCCTTTTGTTATTTTGTTCATCGTTCTCTCAGCAGAAATGTCCTACTAAACTGAAACTTCTAAAATGAATTTATAATATAAAGGTTAATGGGTCTCACTAGGGACTTTAAAATTAAAAGTCTGTAATGACCCAAATCAGCTTGTAAATGTTAAAACTATTGCATAATGAACTAAACCAGCTTGTAAATTTTGGCAAAAAAAAAAAAAAGGAAAACCCCCAGCTTATAATGTAAATGAACTAAACTGGGTACTAGTCAGGATTTTTTGTGATGTGTAATGCTGCCTAGGGATGTTGTTTTGTAGGGATGGTATTTCTCTCTTCTATTTTGCTTAAGATGAATAAAAAAAACTATAATTTGTAAAAGAGAGTCAAAATCTGCTTTTGCATGCTTGTTTACTTCTCGTTGCTTGGTTGGTCTAACCAAGTGCCAGCATTTCTCAAGCATGCTTGCGAACAAAAGATTACATGTTGTTTCCAATTAACATGCTCCACTGGGTTTGCTTTCTTCATGATCTTTTAGTCTGTCATCTGGATATTTGTGTCTTGGGAGTGAGTTGTAATATGGTAACTTTTCAGGGCTTGTTCTCTGTGTGTGTACTTCCTTATTGGTCTGTAGAATAGGGAATTTTTCCCTTCTAGGGTAATAGGGTTCTCAGATAAGCTTTATTCTTCAAATAATTTGCAATTACACATTACTGTGAATGTGTTCTACAACATCCTTTTGTTTGTCTTTTCAATTAATGTGACCTATCTTGTTGCTCCTTTTTAATTTTTGCTTTTGAATTCTATTTCTAGTGACTGATATTGTCTGGCATCTGATTCAGAAGGTGGTAATGAATTGTATTTCATGTGTTAAAATCATTCACAATTTCTTTGTGAACAGGCCTTGGAATGGAATGATGAAACAACAGAAGAACAAGGGGGAGGTGAATCACCTCCTGTTGTCAATGATGATTTTTCTGCACCAAATACAGAAAAGAAGGAGGATAACTCAGTAAACAGCAGCGAAGAAAATGAATGGGACAGACTGTTGCGTGTAAGGTACAAGCTTTTCTTACATTAATTTTCTTCCAAAGATAAATGTGGCATCTATTGTTTCCCTTTGTAAGAAATAATAATTCACACTACGGATGCAAAGAGGTAAAACTTTCCAACATCCAAGTTGAGGTGATGTTCTAGACTGCTTTTTGTAAAATCTTTACAAATGATTTATGGGGTTACAGGTGGGAAAAATTCCAGAGTGAGGAAGAAGCAGCTCTTGGCCGAGGGAAGCGCCAGAGAAAAGCTGTTTCTTATAGGGAAGCATATGCTACACATCTCAATGAAACAATGAGTGAGGTACTTTATTACTTCATTTATTTATTTTGCAAAAGAGTTTTTCTCTCAGTATTTTTGTATGATCTGTCGTTTTTTATGCTATCTTGAACCTGAGCTCATGAAGTCATTTAATGTGCTAATATATACTTGAGTAGCATTTTATTTTTGAAGCTGTATTTTTTGTGATAAATGAGAAAGGGGATTTAAAACCACTACTTATGCGTGGGACTGGGAGCATGCAGCTTGGTGCTTGTTTGAAACTGTTTTTGTTTCTGGTTGTTATGAATCATTGCTGTTTTCTTAATATATATTCTTTCTTACCCATTATCATTCTCCAATCTGGGAGAAATTTCTTAGCATCTTGGAACTTCATAATTTGACCGAAATTTTATCTGTTTTAAGGTTTCAGTCACTAGCCCTGTGAATTATTTTACATTTTCTGTCCCTATTGCCATGCCTTTCTCCTCTCTTGCTTTAATGTCCTTCTATTTTTTTCTTTTTATTTCTTACTTGTTTCTCTTTTTCAGCTAGTTCATTTAGTTTGAAGCAAACTGGTTGATGCATGGAGAATTCTCCTTCTCCTTAATAACATCCACCCAACATATTAACTGAAACACTCAGACAGAGATGGTTGTATATTTCTTCTTTTATTGGCAGACTGAGATGGTTGTATATTTCTCATAAATGAATGTGTTATTACCTCAAAACCTATGCTCATGCTTTGCGTAGTTGCTAGTGAGTATGCTTATTTATTCTTGTCATCCTTATTCATGGTGTTCTCAATTGCCATTTGATCAAAGCAGAGTGTTGTTGAAGAGGAACGGGATCCTGAACCCGAACCAGTTAAGGAGTATACTCCAGCAGGACGAGCTTTAAAAGCAAAGTAGTAAGTTAAATTCTTTTCAAGAATTCCATTGTGATGTTTCCAGCAAAGATGCAAACATGTTGCCTCCTTTTTCTTTTTCTTTTTTTAATTATTTTCTTCTGGCTATGGTGGTAACTCTGGTGCAATATTAACTGCTATTATATATTAGAAGTGATCAGTCTCCATCATAAAATTTTTGGGTCAATGTGCTGCCCACCCATAAAAAAATAGAATACATTGGTGATATGGCATATCCATTCATTATTTTTAATTCTCAAATCATATACATAAAATTCAGGTTATCATCATTTAAGTGATGGGATTGTTTAATAGTATGACCATGATTCAGTAATTTGTTTCATAATCTTTTTTGAACAGTGCTAAACTCCGTGCCAGACAAAAAGAGAGGCTGGCTAAGAGAAATGCAGTTGTAGAATCTCATCCAAGTGAGGCACTTCCAGTACCTGAGGGTCTTCAGTGTCCTCCAGTCATTGACAAGGATGCTGAACAAATCATCCAGCCAAATCAACTAGACAAAGATAAGTCTTCAGTAATTGATTTGGAGGATAATAAAGTTGCTCAACAATCAGATGCCCTGAAGAGCAAGACTGACCCAGTCTTAAGGCTTGGGAGGATGTCAAAGCATAGAGTGAGCACTAGCAGTCAATTGGATCTCTCTGCTAATCCTGTTGGGCACACTTCCCCTGATAGCATCCTTCCAAGTTACCATCATCGAGGCACTAGCTATCCAAACTCACCTCCAACCAACAATATGTTGCCAGTTCTAGGACTTTGTGCTCCCAATGCCAGTCAATTAGACTCATCCCGTAGAAACTTTTTGAGACCAAACGTCAGGCAAAGCAGGGCAGGAACTGGACCAGAGTTTCCCTTCAGTCTAGCTTCTTCTTCTGGAGCTTCAATTGAGAGAGAAACAAAAAGTCAAGAAACTACTCTGGACAAGTTTAAATTACCAGATATCTCTCAAGAAATTTTGCAGCAGCATCTTAAAAGTAGCAATCTAGATTGTTGGCTGCCATTTAATCAGGTACTCGCTCTCTCTTTCTTTAAATTCAAAAGATTTTGGTCCATGATGCTTATGATTTCAATGCTTGTTCTTTTTGCAGTATCATTCAGCTCTTCCACAAGGAAAAGGTTCAAGTTCCGGTGCTACTTTTGCTGAATTTCAGGAAAAGATGTCATTGCCTAACTTACCTTTTGATGAGAGACTGCTACCTAGGTTCCCACTTCCTCCACAAAGTGTTGCAACTTCACATCATGAACTCTTACCTAGCTTATCACTGGGGACTAGGCTTGATGCTGTAAATGATTCCATGCAAGACCTTCCCACAATGCCGTTATTGCCCAACTTGAAATTCCCTCTGCAAGATCCACTTAGGCATAATCAACAAGAGAGGGAACTGCTTCCTACATTGGCTTTAGGGCCGATGCCATCAAGCCTCTCTTCTTTTCCGGAAAATCATAGGAGAGTGCTTGAAAATATCATGTTGAGGACTGGTATCGGGTCTGGCAGTTCATATAGAAAGAAGTCAAAGATGGATATTTGGTCTGAAGATGAACTTGATTCTCTATGGATTGGTGTTCGTAGACATGGACGGGGCAATTGGGATGCGATGCTGAGGAACCCTGTCTTAAAATTCTCAAAGTATAGGAGTTCAGAAGAGTTAGCAGCTAAGTGGGAGGAAGAAGAAGTTAAGATTTTGGGTGGATCAGATCTTCCAGTATCAAAATCCACCAAGCCAACAAAATATACAAAATCATCATTGTTTCCAAGTATTCCTGATGGAATGATGACCCGTGCATTGCAAGGAAGTAGACTAGTTGCACCACCAAAATTTCAATCCCACCTGACAGATATGAAGTTGGGCTTTGGTGACCTAGCTCCCTGCCTGCCACATTTTGAGCCACCAGAGCAGCTTGGTTTGAGGAATGAGCATTTTCTGCATATTCCACCCTGGCACTCCAACAAACTTCATGCAAAATTTGCTGGAGATTCTACAGCTGGACCTTCTGATAGGCCAGGGACATCTTCAAATGTACCTAGTGATAAAACTTTTCTGCTTGACTCTTGTGGAGCCAGTGACTTGGGTTCAGTAGGTTTAAATTGCTCGAGTAGCCTTGATTTACACAGGAAGGAGGATGAAAGTGGTTTGAAGGATGGGAAGTTGCCTAGTCTTCTTGATAGATCACTGCATCTCTTGCGTGACTTCCCAAAGATCATTGGCAGTGGAGAAGCTGTCAGTTCAGGATTGCTCCCTGACCAAAGTAAAGGGCTGAATATTTCTGATATGGTGGGAAAAGGAGCTGGTAGCAGTTCTTCAGAGAACAAGCTACCCCATTGGCTTCGTGAAGCTGTGAGCAATCCTGCTAAAACTCCAGATCCTGATCTTCCACCCACCGTGTCAGCAATAGCTCAGTCACTACGTGTTCTTTATGGGGAAGATAAGCCAACTATTCCCCCATTTGTGGTGCCAGGTCCCCCTCCTACCCAACCAAAGGATCCAAGACGTAGTCTAAAGAAGAAGAAAAAGCAGCGAAAGTCACATCAATTCGGGCAGTTTAAAGAGATAGCTGGAAGCAGCAGCATTCATGGCAACAATCCTCCATCAAGCTCAGATCCATTGGCTGGACAACTTCACCTGCTGCCACAACCAATGAGTGGAAGTTCAGGTATTCCTTGGAGCAATTCCAACCTCAACTTACCACCACTCAGTTTAAATATGATGAACCCTTCGCCTTTGCCAGCATGCCTAATTCCACCAAAGAAAACCTCAGGGTTGTCCCCATCTCCTGAAGTGCTTCAACTGGTAGCATCCTGTGCTGGTTCAGGTGTTCATTTGTCATCAGCTTCTGGTATGACAAGCTCAAGCTTACTTGACGGCAAGCTTCCATTGCCCAAAGCTATTGACCATGTTGAATTCCCAGATTTACAAGGTGCATCAGACAAATCACAGCCCAAGCAAAGCCCACCTCTTGATGTACGGGATGAGCTTCAGGAGGTGAGACAAGATGAGCCTGATAGTGGGGATTCCAGCAAGACTCTGTCCAATCATTCTCTGCCTGAACAACCTGGTATGGAGGAAATATCATCAGAAGGCACTGTCTCAGATAATCCCACAAGTGACTGGGAACCATAGCTGTTATGAAGGAGTATACAGACGAGTTGAAAGTGCAAAACAGGTAAACTCTTTCGTGCTCCTGGAATTCCGGGCCTCTTATAGATTCCCTCGGGTTTTGTAGGCATGATGAAGTGAGTATTTAAGTAGCATACACAGGATCTTTTAGGACATGTCTCTACTAGTGTAAAATTTTCTGTAAGTGAAAATCCACAGATATAGTGTTGCATGCTTGCTGATGCTTCTGTTGCCTCCAATGTTTGGAGAACTAATGTCGTCTGCTTAGCAAGCCTTTAAAGTACTATTTCTCATAATGTCGTAATCTCCACAGCCATAGGCCATATATCTAACCAATATTTTGCAGATGATGGAATTCAGTGTAAAGGTTCAATGTCTCAAATTTGTTTTGAGTTTTGCCATTGTATTGTAATACTGGTAAAGTTACCTCTCCCATTGTATTACATTCATTCATACATACATACATACATACATACATAATACATGAATACAAACACTCATACATGTGTGTGTGTGTGTGTTTATGTATGCATACTTCTGAATTCTAATGATCCGGATCACAAGGCCAGATGGTTTGTGGATATGCTCACCGTCTCCCATCATTGTAAACCAAACACAATATTCTTTAAGGTCTGCACATGTCTTGTTGCGTTCTCAAAACAAAGTCTCTCATTTCATTGTCTTCCTGAAGAATCAGAAAACCCAATTCAATGAAATGCTTTTCCTAAATGGAATAATCATTCTTACTGGAAATCCAATCAACAGTCCCCAGCAAAACGCTGCTGTTTGCAATTTGCAATTGAGTGTGGTTGACAAGGGTACTAGGATGAGTGATTTCTTGAGAAGTTCTCGTGTTGCTGTATGAGATAATCAAACAGTAGTAATATTCCTATGAAATCACAATACATCAAAGCACAGTGAATCCCTCCCTCGCCCTCTATTTGTACATTTACAAGAAAATGCAAAACTAATTGACCTAAAATACCCAAAAATGAAAAAGCCAAAACTCCATTAATTTTCTTCGTGAGAATCAGCTAGTAGGGTAGAACAAGATGTTCTTGGGTTGGCTGCAAACCTTGAGGAGAATGCATGGAACTTATAGTAATCTTCATCATGCATTCTTGTATCAAAGTTCAGTGAGTAGCTCAAGGGATCGTATCGGCACTGGAATGTACTCTGTTGCCCCGCCGTGGCCGCCTGTAGCATTGCCTTCCCCTGTTTCCTCACTTTCCTTACTAACCTCCTCAGGCACGCGCCATAACAACTCGGTGACGGCTCAGTAGTGGCGGCAGTGGCAGTGGCAGCGGCAGCGGCAGCGGCAGCACCGGCTTCACTGCCATTCTTGGTTTCGGAGATGTTCTTAGGCCACCAAATAAGCCACATTTGCGTCATGTTCAGATATCTCTCACTGCAATGGAGTGAAATGAAAGGGGGTACAGGTAGCTGTAGTGAAGAAATAAGGTGTAATTGGAAACTTGGAATATATATATATAGAGAAGGTGAAGTGTGAACTCTACCTGCAGAAGGAGCGAGTGGAAGAGGAATCTATCATTGGATTCCTACGAGAAAACCTCAGGTTTACATGCAAATCAATATGTTTTGACTAAATTTATAAGTATTTTAATTTTTTGATATTATTCATATTTCATAAGTTAAATTTTTTTTAAAAAAATTTATATTTTTTAACTTTTTTTTCTTTAATTTTCAAAAAATCTTAAACATGCGAGTAGCAAGTTCCTTGTGCCTTTCACTCAACCCGAAAGTTAGATGATACACTTGTTAAAAGCGACAAAATCACTTGATCGAGAAAGTTATGTACATATAAATGAGTAGTCTCGAAACCACCCATGATAGAAAGGAAATGCACTTCAAACTAGTAGGATATCAGTTGATTTAAAAGATCATGTGCTATAATAATTTATATATATTTTTTAATAAATTGTTAAGAGGTGAGTTTAAAATTCACTTATAAAAAAAAAATACATCTCAAGTTAGTAGGTATCAGTTAATTCGAAAGCAAGTGCATAATAACTTTTATTTTTTTTTTTAAACATATATTGCAAGGGTAGGTTTTGAACCCTGTCGAGAGAAAAGAAATACACCGTGACTATGCCATTAGGCCTCAAGCGTCAGTGCCATAATAACTTTTATTTTGAAATCAAACATAATTTAAATTTTAATATAAAAAGCTTTTCTATTATTGGCACATGGGTGCCATTTCATACACTGCAGTTTTGATAATTTCTATCATCAATCATTCTATGTCCTTATGATTAGCATTTCTGATCGTCTTCGGTTTTTTTTTTTTTATCATAATTTCTTTTTGTTTACTCAAATTAACTATGGGCTTCGGAATCCATTTTCAACTTTCAATTTTTCCAGTGCCACAGTTTCCTCTGTGGTAAAGTTCGATGAAGCTGGTTTTCTGTTTTAAGTTTCAGTTCAAAACAGGAAAAACTGGTATTTGTAGGGTTTCACTATTTTTACTGTTTAAACTGTGTCAAATAATAAAAAATAATAAAAAATAATAAAATAATAATAATAATTCCACATTCAAAGTTTTTCTTGTTAATAATTAATTTTATACAATTTAATATATTTACAATTACACAAAATATTTTTGTAATAATTAATAATAATTCGATAATTATGTGGCTCATATTCTGATTTGAAGTAATGGGGTCCACGAATCTGATGCAATAAACAAAGTTTGTACCAGCACCATTATTGTATGAACTAAAGAAGACAGGAGAGCAGAAAGAGGCAGAAGTCAAATGGTGGGTGAATTGAAGACCGAGCCATCACAGTGGCAATATTCTTATTTAATTCTGCCTCCCTGAATCAGTCCTACCTTCGGAATCAAATTCATTTACCCACTTTTCAAGTTTTCATACCCTAAATTAATGAAATATCCCCAAGGAACGACAGGGAGAGCTGGGGGTTTTTTTTTGAGATAGAAGTACTTTTTAGCCCGAAACTCTTTACGTATTGACAATAAATCAACTGGTTCACATTCAATGGGGAGAATTTAAGGTGCCAGAACTTACACATTTCTGGCCACTTCGATTAGTGTGGACAGAAATAACTAGTTGGAAAGCTGTAGCAATCTATGTATACTGTAGCAAACTACATAATATGAACTTTTTTTTTTGGGTACAATAATATGAACTTTTGAAGGAGAAGTAAGAACATGTTGGGTAGAGTTTTTTGAAGTTTTTATTTTTTGTTTATGGTTTATGAGTAATAAATTTAAATTTTTATTAGAGAAAAAATTTAAAATTTACTTTTAAAAATAAAAAAAATGTATAAAAAATGAGTAAAAAATAAGTTTATAAAAAAGTAAAAATTTAAAACTTTTTAAAACTTGCTATTTAAGGTTTTTTTAATATTAAAAAAATTAAAAAATATAAAATTTTAAAATAAAAATTTAAGTTTATGAAACATGAATGATATAAAAAAATTAAAACTCTTATAAATTTCATCAAATATGCTTTAAGTCTCTTAATATTAAAGTGTTTTCATTATTTAAAGTTACATTTTGCAGTTTACAACTTAACTACGAAACAAAAACTTATAATTACTTCTTAAAAGAAAATAAACAAATATTTTCTTTTATCATCTTGACCTTTCAAGTCAAATGACTTTCTAGTTATTTTGAAAGTGCACTTTTTCTCTCCTCATAGTGGGTTTGAACCCACCTTTGTCAACTTGTTTAAAAAAAAAAAAAATTCTCTTTTTCCTATATACTCATTAGATTTTCATTACATCTAATTTTGAGAATTAATTTACTCTTACTCAAATCTTGTTCTTCCAATTTTAAAATTCAAATTAAAAACTTTTAGCATAAAACTTTCAAGGTCTAACAATGAAGAGTTATCTAGTTTCGAATGGGGGGATACTTTGATACTGGTATATATAAAACATGGTAAAAATAAAGTTAAAGATTGGAGGGCTTGAAAAATTATGCATGGTCTTTGGACGCAGCTCCTAAAGATTCTTTAGTAGATTTGACTTACATAATATATAACTGTTAATGCTGTTCATATTGGGTTTTGGGAATTTTTTTAATGATTCAAATCTTTCTTAATCATGTGCTAGGACATGCTTTCTAATTTCTGCAATCTATTATTTCCTTTCTACTGCAGAAGAATGAAGATTGGACCGTCAAATATAAACTTTAATATAATTGTAAGATTCCCAAATATTACACCAATTATGATTATATGGGTGTCTTAATTGTTGGACCCAGTAAATGGAGCCCCCTGAGACTAGGGTAGCATGTTGGTCACATGATGTTAATCTGTCAAGGGAATTATTATATGTATGTGAGTGCTGTTGGATTAATTAATCATATTTTAATATTTTTATTTTATTGATGGAATCAAAATTTATTATTTAACTATAGCTTCATTAAGACTAAAGTAAAAAGATTATGGATTATTAGGTCAACATTTTGACTGGGGAGTCATGTGCCAACTGCCAAGCATTTTCCAACGTACAAATTTGATATTCTTTATTAACCCTTAGCTAAGAACAACGTGTTTCATAGATCAGATTAACTCTAAGTTAAGAATAGTTAAGTCAAAACCCATCAGCTTTAAATTTTTAATTTATGATTAAGGTTTGTAAATATCAAGAAAACTAGCCCTAGATGGGTGAGGTATTGCCACACGTTTATCTAATTTGTTAAAGCCATACAATATTTTTTTTCAAGTTTTAAATTGCATAATAAAAAATAATTTTTTTCATTTATTAACTCATTTTATTTGTATGTTATATGATTTAAGTTTAAAGTCTTTTAATTTCATTAAAAAAAATTACCTCCGAAATTAATTACATCGTTGACAATACATCACACCTTTTAAATTTACATAAACTGTTTAACAATGGTTCATCATTGATAGACAATTTATAAGCACCAGGGATTGGTGGCATGTTGGACTAACCTTTTTTCATCCTAAAATTGGAAAAAAAAAAGGGTGTCGGAACATCCTAAACTTTTATTCACAAAAAGAAAACTACCTACATTAGTTTATTGGATTTATTAATGGACCCTTCTTACTGGCATTAAATATTGGAAATCAAAACTATTTCACAGTGAATTTTATAATCTTAAAAATTTCAAAAGGTTGCTAACCACATAAATAATTCGATAATTATTTTTTTTTATCAAAAATAAAAGATCCTAAGTTCGACTTGTATAGCAGGCGGGTGAGATGAAATAATGGATTCTAAATAGTTATCTTCCATTGTATAACAAAAATATAAAAAAAAAAAAAAAATCCAAAAGGCTCATCATTATAAATGATTCGCAGGGCATCATGATTAAACATTTTTTTCATTTCATTATTAGTATGAAATTAATTTAGTTCTGAAGTTCTAAATTAATTAATGGGCCACGTTCTACGTTTAGGTCCAGTGTAGCCCAAACTTCTTTAAATGGACAGAATGGGCCAAGAGGACTTTGCCATTCCTAAATGGGCTTGATGGACTTCAACGAGAAAAAAGAATCTATTTGGGCCTAAAACTCACGTGCTCTTGCCACGCGAGGGTTGGGACCCACAAGGCCACAACAACCTGCGAGTATCAATTTCCTTTGCCCTAACAATTGAGACGCGCAAAATTCTGAAGACTTTGTCTACTCGCCGCTCAGCTTCAGTACCTGATTATGTTACTGCCTCACTCCGTTTCAAGTATCTTCTCCTTCTTTCATACTCAATTTCAGTTCCAAAATTTTTTATTTTTAACCGTTCTCATTTTTTAAATCTCTTCTGGGTCCTCCTAGTTGTGTTCTTCTGAGCTTGTCTTGAATTCATTTCAGAAAGTTTGATTTCTTTTGCCTGTTTCAGTTTCTTTCTTTTGAATTTTGTTTTTTAAGATTCTGAATTTGTGGGATAATTGCTAGCATCACCTGAAAATGGGAAAGTTTCAAACTTTATTGCTTAAAACTGTCTTATTTTATGTTATTCAATCTTAGATGTGAGTAGTTTGGCATTGTAACTTCTGGTTTACATTAATCTCACTATTTAGTAGTGATACTCTCTTTACATTGTACTGATTTGTGTTCTTTATGCTTGCTTTTGAATTTTGTTTGTTAAGATTCTGAATTATGGGATAATTGGTAGCATCACCTGAAAATGTCCCAGTTACTGATAATGGGAAAGTTTCAAACTTTGTTGCTTAATGCTGTCTTATACTCTTATTCCATGTTATTTCGTCTTAGATGTGAGTATTTTGGCATTGTAACCTCTGGTTTGTGTTAATCTCATTATTTAATAGTGATACTCTCTTTACATTGTACTGATTCGTGCTCTAGTGTTCATGGGAGAATTATATGTATGTCCGTTAAACCTGATTTTTTGATGTTAATGTTTTAATATTCTAGACCAGGTAATTGAAATCATTAAATGTTTTGGTAGTGATAGTAATATTGGGGTTATTTGTGTGAGTTTGGTTGGCTCTTCTAATTTTAATGTTTGTTCAGTGATTCTATAAAGTGGGTAATTGGCTATTGGCATTCTAACTTCCTGGTGTTTTAGGTTTCATGCATACAAAATTATGGTTTACAGTACCAAATTTTAGGTTTTTCATTTACCTTTATATGCTGGTCTTGTAATTTCTATCATGTTTTTGAATCATTGTTTGAACAAGCAGTCGCTTGACTTAGCTTATGAAGCCAGATTGTTGTCTTCATTTTGCAAAATGAAGGACTGATGTTATTTTTATTTTTATTTTTTTTAACAACTGGTATCTTTTCTGTTCTGGTCTCTATTTTTGGTTAACTACCCTGCATGCATGTGCTGTCACGGTGAATGTGTCTTCTGTAGTGCCATCAATTGGAATATGGATGTCTTGCAGTATTTTTGAAGTTAGAGCCTTGAATCTTATTAATTTCCTGAAGCTAACTAGATATCTATAGATGCGTCTTTTCTCTCACACTTGAGTTATATGCTAAGCAGATCCTATGAGATTCTAGAGTTCTTTTTATATGGTTGTTGGTTACTCTGAGTGGATTTCAAAAGGTTTGAAATTCTTTCTTTTCCCTTGCAGGTACATGTGTAAAAGTTTTGTTTTAAGACAGATTCATGTTTCCCACAGGGATAGATCTTGAGCAGCCCTCTGGACAGTGTCATACAGAAGATATGGATGTTACTGTGTTGGGTAACAGGGATGAAAGGCATGATGCAGGTCAAGTCAGCATAAATTCTTGTAATGTTGATGTGGTTATTAAGGAGAATACAGGGCCAAATGTTAGTGGAGTAATGCGGGATGGTAGACAGGAAGTGCATGCCAGAGATGGAATAAACCTGAATTCTGTAAATAATTTAGAGCCTCATGATGGCATGGAGTTTGAATCAAAAGAGGAAGCATTTTCATTCTACAAAGAATATGCCAGGTCTATAGGATTTGCAACTGTAACAAAAGCTAGCCGTCGATCAAGAATTTCTGGAAATTTTATTGATGCAAAATTTGTCTGCACTAGATATGGGAAGAAGCGAGAATCTAGATCGCTGGAGACTGTAGAACCTGTTCTGAACGCAGATGATACTACTGTTCCTCTCAGGAAGAAACGGAATAGAGTTAATCAATCTTGGTCAAAAACAGATTGCAAGGCTTGCATGCATGTTAAAAGAAAGCAAGATGGGAGATGGATTATTCATAGTTTCATCAAGGAACACAACCACGAGATTTTTCCAGATGAAGCCTATCATTTTCGAGGCCATAGAAATTTAGATATAGGTAAGAGTAATGTTGATTCCTCAAATGCTATCCGTGCAAGAACAAAAAAGATGTTTGTTTCCATGTCCAGACAATCAGCTGGGTATAAGACATCCAAGAATCAGATGGGTGGTGCTGCAAATCAGTTCGCTAACAGTAAGCATTTAGCTTTAGATGAGGGAGATGCTCAAATTATGCTTGACCACTTTATCTCCATGCAAGATGAAAATCCCAACTTCTTTTATGCTATAGATCTTAATGAAGAGCATCGTTTGAGGAATGTTTTCTGGGTTGATGCAAAAGGTAGACTTGATTACAGCTATTTTGCTGATGTAGTTTTCTTTGATACCACTTTTATTAAGAATGAGTATAAATTACCATTTGCACCCTTCATTGGTGTCAATAATCATTTTCAGCCTCTGGTGCTTGGATGTGCCTTAGTTGTTGATGAGAGTAAATTAACATATGTCTGGCTTTTGCGGGCATGGCTTAGAGCAATGGGTGGCCGTGCTCCAAGAGTTATTCTAACTGACCAGGACAAAACATTGAAGGAAGCTATTGCAGAGGTCTTTCCTGATACTCGTCATTGCTTTTGCTTGTGGCATATATTGAGTAAGATACCTGAGAAGCTTGCTTATGTTACAAGGCAAGATGAAAATTTTATGGGCAAATTTAACAAATGCATTTTGAAATCTTGGACAACTGAACAGTTTGAAAAGAGATGGGGGAAATTTGCTGACAGATTCAATTTGAGAAATGATGCATGGTTTCAATCATTGTATGAGGATCGTGAACTATGGGTACCTACATTCATGAGAGGCACTTTTCTGGCAGGGTTGTCTACAGCACAACGATCAGATTGTCTGAACACTTTGTTCGATAAATACATCCAGAGGAAAACTACATTGAAGGAGTTTCTAGATCACTATAAAGCAATTTTACAAGAGAAGTGTGAAGAGGAAGCTAAAGCAGATTTTGAAACTTGGCATAAACAGCCTGGATTGAAATCACCATCACTTTTTGGAAAACAAATGGTGACTATGTATACACATGCAATATTTAGGAAATTCCAAGTTGAGGTTTTGGGAGTAGTTGCATGCCATCCTAGAAAAGAATGTGAAGATGGAGCTGTCAGAACTTTTAGGGTTCAAGATTTTGAAGAAAATCAAGATTTCATATTGGTTTGGAATGAAACAACAGCAGACATATCTTGTCTGTGCCATGGATTTGAATTTAATGGTTTTCTTTGTAGACATGCACTGATTGTTCTCCAGATGTCTGGTGTACAAAGCATTCCATCTCAATACGTATTGAGACGATGGACAAAGGATGCAAAGGGTAGGCAAACTGCAAGAGAACAGACAGCCAATCTTGAGTCTAGGGTTCAACGCTATAATGATCTGTGTCAACGGGGCTTTAGACTGGGTGACGAAGGATCCTTGTCTCAAGAGAGTTATGATATTGCACTAAATGCACTGGAAGAAGCATTGAGAAAGTGTGAGAGTGTCAATAGCTCAACTCCAAGTATATCAGTGCCAACCTCACCACCAAGACGGGGCCCCCATGATATTGAAGAAGCGAACCATGGTAACAGCACATCCAAGGCAAAAAAAAAAAATGGCACATCCCAGAAAAGACAAGTAAGTGTAATTCTTGGTGGTAATTGTCACTGAATCCAATTTTTTAACGAGAAGTTGAGTTTTGTTTTTTTAAGCCCTATCTCTTATCTCTTAGGTAAATCAAGAACCTGAGGCCATTAGCATTGGGCTGCAAGACAACTGGCATCGAATGGTTAGTGTTTTTCTCCTTATTTTAGCTTGTTTTTATTGTTCAATAATGGAATTCTGGTTAGCTATAAGATTTTTGTTATAACATATCATAGAAGATTTCAACATGCTTGATACTTGCTTTAGGGACCACCAAGTATACAAGCATCAGCCCTCGACTGCTCTTATGAATCACAAGCAAACATGCATGGGCCGGTACGATGTACATTAATAGTTGACAATTTTGACTCTGATGGTTTTAATCAATCCTCTATGTCATTTAGATCGTGCGTGTCCTGAAATTCCTGGTTTGTGTGTTTTGTTCCTTAGGAACAATTGAACTCAAGAACTCCATCATCAGATGGTTTGTTTGGTACTCAACAACCTGTGCAAGGAATGGTATGGGATTTCTTCTGTCTGTCCTCAGATTAGTTCCTTGCTCTAAGATTTGATCAATATGCTTATTGAAAAATAATTTAACATATTAATAATCATTTTATTCTTTTTAGGGTCAATTAAACTCAGTAACACCAGGTCGTGGTGATTTTTATAGCAATCAGCATGGCATGCCAGGGCTGGTAATTTGTTTTATATGACTTGAATGCTATTTATGTCCCTTCTTGTCATACGGTAACGAGTTTTTGTTTTTATTTTTGTTGAAGGGAAAATCGAACTCATTCACTCCAATCCATGGTGCTAATTACATGACTCAACAAAGATTACATGGGATGGTAATTTGTTTTTGTGCTCTCTGGGCATACTTTTTTATTCTTATAAACAACTTGATTTGTCCCTCTTGAAGACTTCAAGTAAGATGGTTATTGAATAGTCAATGTATGCATCTAGATGAGGTAGATAAATAAAGATACCCTGTTACATCTTTGCAGGGACAGTTACATTTCAGAGCACAAACTATTCCCGGTGTTTTGGACATACATGATGATTTAGAAAATATGGTATTGGGACTGCATCTTGGATTATTTCATTTATTTGACAAGTTGCCTTTTCTTCCTTTGATTTTTCTGAAGTCATATTGTGGCTCTTATCCCAGGACCAATCTAATGTAGGAGCCTCTCAATCGCATGGAGAGGCATCAAAACAGCTGCATTCGAAGAACATCTCTCGTTAACCGATGATAAATTAGTTATCAAACAAAGGTGATTTAAATCTTTTGCAACTTCAGTATGATTGATACTAAAAAAGTTACTGGCCCAGTTCTTTACTACTATTTGTTAATTCTACTTTTCTACCTACTACTGCTCCTTTGAGAATCCAGAATAGGTTAAAGTTACATTTACTGTTTATGAATTTTCTACTTATATGGTATCTAAATTTACGTCCTAAATTTGAAAATCCAAAGGAAGCAAGATCTTTAATGAGAAGTTCTGCTTTCTTTTGCAGGTTTGCAAACTGTCAGTAGATTGAAGAATTCTCTTTTCCTCCGCTGTAGATTAGTAAAGGTTCTGCAGTAATTTTGTATATTTTGTTGTGCCATCCAAGTATTACTGAAACGTTTTTTAAATTTATGAATATATTCTTCCCGGATTTCATTTTTTTTTGTACTCCAAAATTTGTATTTATTCTTCCCAGGTTTCCTGTTTACTCCAAAATTTGAATTGAATTCGACAATTATGGGAGTAATTTGCACGTTCTGTCTAGCAAGTTAGGCAACATTATGCACTCTAAGATCATGGTAGCTTAATTGATAAGCTACATAAAGGAAAATGGTTGAAATCCTCTCACACTCACCACAGAAGATGGAGGCAAGATAATAATATGAGTGTATTGTTTTACAATTTAAATTGTGTTGGATTATGTAATACTTTTATAATAACATTTTTATGTTTTTAATTTATAAATTAATTAAAAAGGACGTGAGTCCTTAAAGGCCATCTATTTTGTCCAATTAAGCAAAGGGTTTCATGTTTGATTTACATGTGATTAAAAGATTAAAGAAATACATTTTTAAATAGGGATTGCTGATAAGAACAATTTATAGGATTGAGGACTAAAAAAATACTAAAAATAATTTAGAAAATAAATTTATTTAAAATTAAAACTTTATGAACTAAATTATTTTTGTGTTTTTTAAGGATTGACATCCAAAAAGGGTTAGTGATAAAGTTGCCAAAAAAGTGAACATACTTCTTTACTAACCAAACACACCCAAATAAGCAAGGAAAGCAACTCTTGACTTGAAAACAGAGAGGGAGTAAGGTGTCTTACACTAAACAAACAGATATGTTTGGCACCGCTGCTACAACCACTACCGCCGCCGCCGCCGCCGCCGCCGCCGCAAACACTGCCCAAGCGGCGCGCACTGACTTATTATGTGCTTTTCGAAGGAACACTATTGCTTCCTCTTCTTCTTGGTATCATCCGATTGCGTGCATTCAGGTTCATTCTCCGTCGCTGTGGTCGAGCTGTGGTGGACCCATCAGAGCCATGGCTGAGTCTCAAACTCCTTCTGTTTCAAAAGACGAGGCCCAACCCTCCTATCCGGGTACTATTCTTGCTCATTCAAATTCCAGTTATGCTTTTTTTTTTTACTATAAATTTTTTTTCCTCTCATGAGCTCCGAATTCATGAAAAGAATCATTTTTTATGGTCTCATACGAAAACCCAAGATGGAATAATAAAATTTAGTATCCTTAATCAAAAGGGTTTCTTACGGATTTCACATTGATATTGACCTTGGATGCTGACTCCTGAGACCAAACTAGCTTCATTTCTGTTCCTTCTGTTCTTGTAACGTGTATTTTAAAAGTTTCTCTTTTGATTTAAGAAGGATTGTCTGGTCCATATAATTGATGCATTTTTTTTCTCAGGGAACAAACAAGCATTGATATCTTTATCGGACAAGAAGGACCTGGAATTTCTTGGTAATGAGCTTCAAGAATTGGGGTAAAACATTTGGGACACTCTTTTCAGTTCATTCTGATTTTCATGATTTTATGACATATGAACATCAATGATGTTGCTAGGTGAGTAGGTGTCCTCTGTTTCTCAGAAATTTAAATATTGGCTTATATAGAGCACCAAATGTAATGTCTAAGGGTGCGTTCAGGATTGCTGAGAAGTTTTGTGGCTGTAGGTGTAGTTGTGGCTGTGACTTTGCTGTAGTTGTGGTTGAAAGTTATTTTGGTGTTTGGTTATTTATTTCTTAAAAGTATTATAAATGAAATATGGTAGATTTTATTAATTGTTAATTAAGATTTAAAAAATATTGTAAGATATATAATTATTAAAATAGATAATATTTATTATTTTAATAATTTAAGTTTTTTAGATTTGTTATCATTATTAAAATATTATAAATTATGATATAATTAAATT